AAGATCTTGACAGTCTGACGTCCTTCCTGTGCTGAGTAATCTCAGCGCACAAACTTCTGGTACCCCCTCTCAGATTGAAATGTCCCTTTGTCTAACCTTGCTGGTGGTGGCAGCCAGCAAAAGTGACCTCTGAAGGGCTCAGCATCGTAGACCTGCGCAGACAAGTCCTGGTCCCTTTTAATAGCCTTTGTTCAGCCCTGGAGCAAGCTTGCAAAGGCTGCAATATGTATTCAGAGCATAACTTCAAAAAGTGCGTGCCTGTGCTCCTGGAGCGCTCGGTGCCACTGCCAGATGTGGTGTCTGTGCTGTAAGTGTGCAGGTGCCAGGCGTCGCTGGTAATGCAGGACTCTGGGGCTTGTCACGCTCTGCCGCTCAACAGGAGTTTCTTGTGTTGCACACACGTGGTTACGTGTGCCCTCGGGCTTGCGGAGAGGCTGTGATGTGTCACCCTATGGCAAATGCTGCTTTCCTCTGGGAAGCTTCCACTAACACTTGTAGTGTGGGGAAAGGTCTTCAGGAGAAGGACCTGGACGGCTGTAAGGTGGGAGGTTATTTTACTCAGGGCAAGACTCAGTTTCTGGATAACTTGACTAAAAGGAGTGAAGAGCATCGGCACAGCTCTTCGGATGTGCTGTTGGCTTGTTCTGCTGGCTGGGCTCCTGCAGACCCTAACTGAAGCAGAAGTACTGGTTCAGAGGGCAGCTTAATGGTGGTGGAGCTTTTTGTCAACTCCAGCTGTCAGGAATAAATTCAGTGGATGCTCTGTGCATAGTGTTCTGCTTATCTTAAGGCCTTGTTCAAGACAGTAGAGCATCGTTTGTCATCAGCATAATGGCAAGGTGGCTTATTTACCCTGAGCTGCCAACATTGGTAAGCCCAGCTGCTTAGGGCTCACTTTTACATCTCTCTCTTATAAAATGGGCTTGGACAAAGCTACCAGGAAACTCTGATTCTCAAATAGCTGTAAACTGTAGTATGCAGGGAAGAAAGCTGTATGCTTCAAGGTCCTGAGCAGATGCTGAAAACCTTAGACTGCGAGTCTAGCCAGCAGGTGGAAGAACAAGAGCTGCTCGGAGGCTGGTTGTGTTGGACATCTTGCTGTTGGGGTGCCTCTCCCAGGGTGTGTGCTGGGAACCACAGCTTGCGTTGATGGAGCGATCTGTTGGAGATTGGGTGAGTTCACATTCAGTGTGGTAGCTCAGGAGTTGTTAACTGGATTTAAAAGATGATCTGGGGTCTGCAGAATGGAGTTGGCATAAAGAGTTGAAACTAGTTACCCTCTTGGGTGTGATGGGTCTAAGACTCTTGTGTGTGCCCCTCCCAGTATCTTCAGGAGCCCCAGGATGATGCAGGAATTAGAGGGTGTATTGCAGCAGCACTGTCCTGATAGCCTTTATGAGGGAAGGCTCAGCTAAGGAGAAGTGGTTTGTAAAACATTCACTCTCTAGAGAGTGACCTGAGCATCCACGATCTGGAAGAGTGCCATGCTGGTATCGAGACTGCTCCAGAGAGCTCTTAAATCTGTCAGCATTTGGCTGACGTGCTCAGAGATGGAGGCATGCTGGCTCCGAATCCAGTCGCTAAAGCTGCGGCACAGAGTCAGAAGTCGGAGCCGAGTTTCTATTAAAAGCTACCTTTTTGCTGCCCCCTGCAAAGGAGAGTTGGCACGTGCCTCTCTTGCAGCTCGGAGCAGAGGCATGAAAAGTTCCAGAAGCTCTCTGCGAACTGCCGCTCCACACAGCAGGGCCACTGTGCGTCAGCCGGTGAATGGGAATTCCAGTGATCCTGCTGTTAACTTCCCCCATGGATGTGAAAAATATGTAGTTTGTGTTTAGGTTTTTTTTCTTAGTCTGAGTAGTTACCTGATGTTTGCTGCTTCACTTTGGAATCTTCAGGGATGCTCTTGGCACCAGAAATTGCTGATGCATCTTACATGTGCCTTGGAGATGGTTTTTCTCTGCTGCAAACTGCCTGCTTGGGAGAGGAGGCGAGGCCAACTTCCTAGAACTGTGATTTTTTTTTTTTTTTTTGAGTGGCCCCAGTGACTTGAGGGCTTTTCTTAGGTGGGCAGCCTTTGTCAGGCTCTCGGGAGGGAGTTTGGGTTAGATCATTATGCCTTTGGGTTGCGGGGGTGAGAAATAAGATCTGGTCTGTTATGCTGATGTTTCCTAGGCTACCTGCAAAGGCTGCCTTCAGGGGACACAACCTGATCGCTAAGCTCCTGTCAAGGAGGAAACGCTGAGCGTGGCTCATGGCTCTTCTTCCAGATGTACCTGTGAGGGGCTGTAGGTACCAAGTGAAGCTGAGTCAGACCCATGGGGTGATGCAGGGTCGCCCGTGAGCCTGCGTGTAACCAAGGGCTGCCTCTGCGGACCTGTCAAAGCTTCTGGAGCGGATGAAATCCATCTGCATTAACAGCAGGATGTCAGTGCTTCCAGGACATGAGGTTAGGAGTGGGTCAGCTGTAGCCGGCAGGATTTTGCTTGGTGGTGGGTGTTGAAATTCAGATGCCCAGACAGTAGTTCCCTTTTAAAGGCCAGTCATCCTGCTACTTGAATGCACACTCATACTGGCCTTACTGGTTTTCTAGCTGTGGTGAGAGCTGAGCAGTCCCAGAGCACATGTGTAGGCCTTGTCTGTAGCAAGCCAGAGTGGTGGCAGAGGTAAGAGTGAAATAAATGAGGCAGAGCAGTTGGACCCTGTAATGCTTTCAGAAGCTCCTGATGAGCCCCTGAACCCTTGCTGATGCTCCCAACTGGAGTTTTGGTCCTGCATCTCTGATAACCAGGAGAATGAGGTGCAGGACAGCATCACCTGGTAGCAGTCCTAGAGACCTGGAGCAGCAAATGCCACACGGAACACTGCACACATGGGGTCAGCACAGGGCTCTCGCTGCCCAGTGTTACAAACCCACTGTGCTCGATGGCATGCTCCCAACTGGAGTTTTGGTCCTGCATCCTGATAACCAGGAGAATGAGGTGCAGGACAGCATCACCTGGTAGCAGTCCTAGAGACCTGGAGCAGCAAATGCCACATGGAACACTGCACACACGGGGTCAGCACAGGGCTCTGGCTGACTCGATGGCTGAGGAGGGCGGCGGCGCTGGAGCATTTGCTGGCAGTGAAGCTTGGGCCGTGGGATCAGCTGCTTTGCTTTGACTCTTGTACTGTTTAGTGACTAATCAGATTTTTGAGCCTGTTTAACAAATTCAGCTGTCTCCCTTGAACAATACACTGGCTGTATTTTTAAACACGTCACGTGGCTTCAGAGAAGTCGGCAAACCAGCGTAGTGCGGCTTGCCTGGGCTGGGAGATGCTCTGCCCTGCTCTGTGCTGTGACTAGGAGGGAGCAGTCTCCTCCCTGGCTCGAGCTGTCTGCAGCAGCTTTCCCTTGCTCCCCGCTGCAGCTGGCAGGGCTGCTGCTGCTCCTGAGCTCTGCCCAGGGTAAGTACTCCTGGGCCAGCGAGGGTCTTCTGTGCCTGCGGGGTTGGGTGTGAGCACAGCTGCTGCTGCTGTGGAGGGAGCCCAGCAGCTATCCAAAGGGCAGGAGGTCCCTTTCCAAGCGTGGTCAGAGGTGAGTTCATAGTCCTGCGCAGCAGCCGAAATGGGTCTGCTGGGAAAGCTCACAGGGATAAGGCTCTGCAAATGTGGGAAGATGCTGTGACTGTTGCTGACAGCTGGTATAGACCAGCTCTGCCCTGGGATAAGGTAGATGCTTCGTGTTAAGGACCCACCTGTACCTGTCTGGGGTTTTTGTTGGTGTTTTGAGGTTTCTCACCCTAAGCTGAGGCTAGAGATGCCAGGTATGCTGCTGGCTGACACTGCTTGGGACAGGTATATCGCAGCGTCTTGCTTCTGTGCTCAGCAGCTTTCTGTGGCACCGAGTTGGTACTGCTGTCTGGCTGTGGCGCACTCTGTGGCAGCGTTGTTCTACTCGCCTGGGTTGGGCAGCGTTTTAGACTGTTAATCCTCTTTGGCACAAGAGCTACCTGAAAAATCTGGGTTAGAAACCTTGTGGTCCTAGCTGGTTGAGAGATCAGGCGGGGCTGGAGGATATCAAGTGGATCCCAAACTTGCTTTGCTGTAAACTGAAAGCTTCAGGGCAAGCTGTCTTGTTTTGCAGCCTCTGAATAATTAAAACCATTTCTGTAATGCTTTGCTCTTTTCATTTGGTTTGGGGACACATTCAGCTTGCTGAGACTTGCTCCTCTTGAATAGAGCTGGCTGGTGTTGTGCCCCCATGGGATCTCCTGTGGCTGAGCCTGCCCTGTGTTCCCTCTCCTTCTGGGTGGCAGCCGGCCCCACGCTGCTGACCCAAGGAACAGGACAGGACTTTCCTGACCCCTTGGTGGCCCGGTGCTCTGCACGGGGGAGGGGGCAGCCCTGTCTTGTAGGGAGGAATTTGCTTGCCTTGGCTCTCCTCGGTGGGAGGAAAACCCGCCGCTGTGCGAGGGAAGCAGTCTGGTGCGTACCCGTCTGTCGGCTGTCAGGCAGAGGCCTGACCAGACAGGCTTGTTGTGAATGCGTACCGGGGATGGAGCTCGCCGCTGGCTGCGTCTCCTTTGTCAGCAGGCCGGACTGGCTGGCTGCCTGTCGCGAGCTCCTGTCAGGGCTGACGTGTGCAGTGTCCCATCTCTGAGCCCGTGAATGCCTGCTAATGGACCAGGCCTTGCTGATGTGGGGTCTCTGGTTCTGCTCCCGGATGAAGTGGCATCTCCTGGCTGATTTTGGCCTTGGGAGAGTAACCCACCTGTGTGTTTGGCCACACCAGGGTGTTGTTGCTGGCTCCAGCTGTGGGGCACCATGCTACAGCTAATGGCAAAGAGCATGCAGCCTTTCCAGAGTGGTGCAGAGGGCTGGTACCTGCCAGATGTGCCACCTCCTGAATGAGCTGTCTGTGGGCTGATGGGAGGACTGTACCCTTCTGGGCTTCTGCCCGAAGAGCTGAAAGGGAAGGAGGTGTCATGCTGCAGCACTGACGGGCTCTTTCTTTGTTGCAGTTCTCAGCATGCTGAATAACCCCCTCGGGAATGTCCTGGGGAAGCCCCCGCTGGGTTTCCTGCCTCTAGACCCCATTGGTTCAGACTTGTCAGAAAAGTTTTCCACGCCAACGCTGAGGAACTCTCGCCTGGATTCCCGCTCCCTCCTGGACTCTCGCTCCAGCAGCCCCTCAGACTCGGACACCAGTGGGTTCAGCTCTGGCTCCGACCACCTTTCAGACTTGATTGTAAGTTTGGGTCTTGCACCCACTTTGTGGTTCCTGGTCTCTTGCTGCATTTCTGGGGAGCATGGGAGAGCTGGAGGTGCTGCAAACTGCAGCCCTGCCTGCTCAGGAAGGAAGGGGACTGCTGGAAGGATCTGTGGAGCCCACACTGACACAGCAAGGTTCTCCTGCAGCCTGGGAGGAAGGGCTGCTCGTGCAGTCCTCCTTCAGCACAGACTAGCACTATCTTTTTATTTTTCTTCTAAATAACATTATAGACTTTTGACTTTGTGCTTGTAGCTGTAATGGGTTAAAGTAGTTCCCGGGGGGTCTGAGTGCTTGAGCTGGTGTGTGGCAGAAGTACCTGTGCCCTGATCCTAACAGGAAGGTAGCTGGTCACCACAAATGCTTCCAGGTTCCAGCCTGGGCTTCTCAAGAGCTCCTGTCCCTGTCTCTCATTGCCCTTCCTGTTTGCTGACTGCAGTTCTCCATCTCGGGGCTGTTTCTTATTGAGCAAACTGGGTCTAGCCTGCTCCTGTTCCCAAAAGCATAGCTAAATTTGGAAGCCAGCGAGTGAGGCAAGTGTCTGTCTTGCTGACCCAGTCTGTGCTGCTGGGTCTGTGTCGCAGTGTGAGCGGCAGCCCTGGGTGCCAGCAGGACAGCCAGCTCTGCGATCACTGCACGGCTCATCCGCAGGACCTGAGGCTAAAGCCAGGGCCGAGGTGCTCCTGGCTCCACTGTAGTGCAGCTGTGGCCTTGACCCCCATGCTGGGGTGGGAGCAAAGGATGTAGTTGGTTTGGTGGGGAGTTGATTCTCCTGTGATCCACCCTGGAGAAGCAGGATCTGGAGCGGAGGCGCTGCACCCCAGGCTCTGATGATGGCAGCAGGGCTTTGTGAAGGTCAGGTCTTCCCCAGCGCGGCTGCGGCGTGGGCGGCCGCGCTCTGGCAGCACGCGGCTAGATCCGCAGAGCGGCTGGCGCTCCGAGCTGCGCAGTGCCTTGCATCCCTGCTGTTTTATTAATCTCTATTTCTTGCCTTTCCCAGGGCAGGAGGAGTATGTTAAACCTGTGAGTGGTTGGGTCTGCAGCCAGCTGAGCCCACACCCCGGTCAGGCAGGCCTGGGAGCTGGGCTGTGGAGGGCAAGAGCCAGCTGCCTGCCAAGCTCATGCCTGCTGCAGGCAGGGCCTGGAACAAAACTGAGGAGGTTCCTCCTGGGGTGGTCGGTGCTCCCTGGGGGTGGCAGCTGCCCTTGAGGCTGTAGGCAGGGAGGAGTAGCTGTTGGCTTTGTGGACTGTAAGGTGTCTCCTGATGAATGATTGATCCTTGCTGCTAATTTGGTATAGGTTCAGTGGGAAGTTGCTGCAGGGGCAGGCCTTTCCCAGGGAAACTGTGACCCCATCAGGCTGCTGGGACAGGTGAGGTGGCTGCTTTCCTGCCCCTGCCAGACCTCTGAGGGTCTCGGGAGACCAAAGAGCCTATTCTGCTGTGGGTGAAGGCAGGGCCTGGGCGGTGCATCCCCTCCTACTTGGAAGCTGGGTTTTAATGTGGGCTTTCTCTTGCAGTCAAGCCTTCGCATCTCCCCACCGCTGCCCTTCCTGCCCCTTAGTGGGGTGTCAAGAGACCCCCTCAAGATGGGAGTGGGGTCCCGGCTGGATCAAGATCAAGCTGCCCTGGCTGCAGTCGCTTCCTCCCCTGCCAGTGCATCGAAAAGATGGCCTGGAGCATCTGCGTGGCCTTCCTGGGATCTCCTGGACTCTCCAGAAGACCCCTTCAGTATTGAAAGAGAAGCCAGGCTTCACAGGCAAGCAGCAGGTAAGCCGGGCGGTGGATCTCGGCAGGCTTTAGCACATGGTGATGGCCCTCTGCTTCTGGGAGGGCACGTAGGTGGCCTCTCTGCAGATTATGTGGCTGGATATGAGTTTGCAGCAGATCAGACCTTTCTCCATGCATGAATGTGATTCTGGGTCTGCCTGCTAGCAGGAAATAGGCAGG